GAAGAAGGAATTAATTTCCTCAGACCCAGCTCATCCTCATCCCCCTGGGCTAAGACCCAACACCTGGCACCCAATGTGGGGCCAAGGAACATTTCAGTCGAGGCTAAGCAGTCTCACAGGGTAAGTGAAACCCTTAGTATGGGTAGTTCTATTTCGCCTAAAGAAGAGCATGCCTTGGGGCTTCGCAGCTCATGATTAAGTCCAGAGGCCTTGAAATATCCAATAGTAATGCTTTCAAGACTGGGGACACTATTGTTACCCTGGTCCCCTGGGCCCCCAGCTCCACCCTTTTCTCCTGGACTACCTGGGCCTGGGTGGAGAAGTTAGACATAAGAAGGAAAACACTTTTGGTATTGTGCCACCCCTGGAGTTCCATCTTTCCATCACCGCCCTCAGAACGACCTTCCACCTGGATACACCCCCCACACACACACACAACTCCCTGCCCCCCACGCGCCAGGGGCCCATAGAGGGAAAGAGGACAGTGCAGGCCAGGAGAGATGAGAGAAAACACAAAAGACAAAGAGGAAGAATGGACTAAATTTGACAGGGAGCGCATGAACCAAACTGAAGCGCACACTGTGGAGGTTAAGACAGAAGCAAAAGTCACTCCTCCTGATTCTTACTCCCCAAAGGATCCTGTAAACTATGTGTCAGAAGATCCAACCCCTATTCTTCCTTGGTAGCTGCTCATTATTTTTCTTCCAAGTTATAATTTTTCTCGGTGATCAGAAAACTCAAACTTTTCTACCTGTGCTGCTTCAAGTAAACGTGAATGGAATGTGTCCCCAGGTCTAGATTAGATCAAGGGGGTGAGGAAAAATCCACAAGCTGCAACAAGGACACTCTACAAAACTTGACATACAAAAATAGAACATATTGTAGCTTTTAATGGCCACTCGGTAAAGGAAGAAAACACCAGAACAAAAATTTTAGTTGTAAATGGAAATTCTATACATTTAAAGACCTAGAAAAATAGGTCAAAGGTTTGGATGCTTTGTCTAAGTGCAGTTTGCAGAAACTGTATTAATAACAACTAGAGATGCTGGAACCCCAGCAGCACCTGAGAATCGAGAGGGTTTGTGTAGGTCAATTTTTGTGGGTGGAAACAGCCTCGAACCTGTTCCGTATCAGCAGGGTTAACCATGGAGAGGGAAGTGTGTGTGAGAGAGTTCACATGTGAGTGTGCATAAGTGTGCGGGGCTGGAAGAAGAAAAGTAGAAACCAGAAGTCTAAGAAGAAGGGAAGAAAAGACGCTAATCTCTCAAGGATAACAACACCCAAGGGTCTACACTGAAAATCATATAGCAGCCTCAGCCCAGCAAAGAATGACCTAAGTCAACACCAGTGTTTGCTTTTGCCCAGCCCAAGACAAGGTTTGGCCTTTATCTCAGCCCATCCTCATTAGTACCTTGAGAAGCAGGCTGAACAGAGGCAGGGCTGCTGTCTGAGGTGTAACCAAACACTCTTATCTTTGAGGAGGATCAGGCCCTGTCCTGATGCTGGGCTGAGGCTCCAGTGTTGACTCGCTCCTTGTCAAGGCCCCTCTGACCTTTAGGTGAGCAATCTCCATTTGCTATAGCCTGGTAGATTCTACTCTCTTACTTGCTCCTATGGGAAATGAGGATGTGCCTCCCCAAGGGGTGAAGGAATATTGAGCTGCAGGTAATTGAGAAGAAATGGATATAGGAGTGGTCGCCATCTCCTCTGCTTTTGTCACACAGTAGGACTTAGATTTATAAAGATGGACTTTGACCTTCTCTGGCCCCATCTTTAGCTAGAGACAGATTTTGACCCTCAGGGTCTGGTGATGGTATGGGGAATTTACATCACCCAGGTACTAGCCAGCCTTTTTTCTGCCTTTCTTATTTGCCTTCCTTGAAGCTGCCACTATGACCTCATAACCTTCTTACTTCCTTATAAACGCCCTGTTCTTTTCTGATGAGTAGGATCCGAAGCAATCTTAAGGATTGCTCATTTCTGTCTCGTGTGTATGAAACACATGACATACTGTGTTAATGAACTCCTGTCTCCTCTTGTTGAACTGTCTGTAGTAATTAGTTCTATTTCAACTTGGTAGGGTTTTTTTTGTTGTTGTTGTTATTCTTTTGCTTTGTTTGTTCCCTGCTGTTTCAACATTTTTTAAAATGGTCTTTGTTTTGTCCTTCTTTGGGTTTTCTTTAAGGCTTGTTCTTGTCATAGAATAAAAATGGTCATGTCTTGGAAGTGTGTATGTGTGTACGTGTGTGTGTGCGCGCACACGCACGCATGTGAGTGTGTGCTTGTGTGTGTGAGCACAGGCCCACAAATACCATGACACTCAAATCAGCAGACACCTCCTGATGTAAGTCTTTGCCTTTCTTTTCACTTGAGACACGGTCTCTTTTTTCTGCCCAGTGCTGTTACTTCAGGAGATCTGGCCCACACGGTTCCAGGGACGCTCCGGTCTCTCTCCCCAGTCTCCCTGTAAGAGCACTGGAGTTAGTTACAGATGCCTGTTACTGAGTTCTGAGGCTTCAAACTCAGGTCCTCACTCTTGGTCATGAGCATTTTATCCACTTGGTCATGACCGTTTCCTAGCATCCTCTTGGGACTTCCTGTATCTGTAAAGGACAACTGCTTGGTTAGTCTTCAGTCCTAAGCGGGATTATGGGTACTGGGGAACTGGGAGTCCCAAAGACCTGGACTGTGCAGTTGATGGAATCCAGTGGCTGCTTCTTGTAGTTCTTCATCCATAGCTGCTTACATTTGGAGAAGGAAATCCGGGGAGACAACATCTTAACTCACAAGAATAACTGCACAATGCCTTTCGATAAAGCAATACATAGATATGATGGATATTTTAAAGTCACAGAGACTTTCCAAGCCTTCATTGTTTAAGAATGCACAGACCTCAGGACACAATAGCCCAAATACATTATCTCGGCATTAAGAACAGAGCAGAAGCAAGAAGGCCATCCCTCATGGTTATCAGGTGCAAAGGGTAGAGCATTCTCCCTTCAAACGGGAAGACCCACTGAGTCAGTCCAATACGGAGTCCAAACCCAGCTCAGCTGAAACTATGGAAGGATTCCTAGTAGTTGGAGAAAAGCTAACATTCCTCAGAAACTTACAAAACTGGTTCTCATCTGCCAAAAGAAGACATTTCCCTACCTCTGGCCGAGAGGCTCCATCACTATCTACCTGTGGCTGCGTGTGTCTTCCAGGTTTCCTCAGTCCCTGCTCACAAGTACCTGTACATTTCAAAGCCTCCTCAAACCTCCAGTCTCCTGGTCCTCCTCTCCCCACAGCTACTCACCTTCCTTCTAGCCAGACATCCACCATCTGACCGCTTACTCTCTGTTAGTCTCTTCTCTCCTGCTTCTCTTGCTGTGCTCTGCCTGTGCTCTTCCACCTTCCCTAGCCCTGGCCACGTCAGTCTGCTTTACTGGCTCGCTGCTGCAGATGCTTCCAGGTGCCTCTGAACGTTGTCTCTCTGATAACCGAGCAGTCACGCTGGCAGTTTGCATTCTCCTACACGCTTCATAAACCAGAGGATGATCATGGCCAGTTCCTCTGAGCCTCGTGGGATGCCAAAGTGGATGGGAAAAGCCCACAAGACCTCAATACACAGAGAATGCAGGCCACTGAGGAAAGCTGGGAGCGGGACGGCTGCTCTTCTACGGGAAGAGCGCATGAATTGGTTGTTCAGTGCAGAAGGTCAGCCCTGAAAACATACATACAAGTAGCGTTATGTGGACCGAGCAGATTATATTTAGAAATATGTGTGTGTATGCATGTATATATACATATACGCATGTAGCAACAATTAGTGAAAAGAGAGGGCATGAATATGAAGGAGAGTGTGCAGGGGTGTATAAGAAAGAGGGTTTGGACGTAGGAAAGGGAAGAGAGAAGTGAAATCATACTATAATCTCAAACTTTAAAAAGGAAGAACTTCATGAGAAATGTTTCCTGGAGGAAAGGAACTGGGAGCGGCGATGCAGAAATGTCGAGAGGAGCCCAGCTAAGCGTCCCTGTTTATGAGGCAAAGCCTCCCTAGTTAGTTTTCACCAAATTCAGTGCAGGCTGAGAAGGCTTAAACCAAAAGTACAGACTCTGAATGCACCTAAATCTGAAACATTATCAACACTAACATGCTATCACAGTGGGAAATCCCACACCTCAAAACCTTGTTTCATGTATGAAACCATTTTAAATTGCTTTCAGACTGTGTATATAAGGTATATACTAACTGTAAACTACTGTCATGTTTAGACTTATCTCTGGGGTACTTTATTTTATTATTTTACATTCCTATACTCCACAACCAAAAAATAATATGAAATTCAAAATACTTCTGATCCCAAGTATTCTAGAATAGGAACACCCAAGCCTTATAAAATATATCCGGGTTTACCTGGGCTTGGTGTGGGTTCATTTCCTGATGCCTTTGTACTCATTGTCTCTTGTGACAGGGGCTGTAGCTGTGAGCCTAGGATGGATGGAGAAAAGCGTTCTATCTGCCACGGAACCTTGGGAGTGCTTCATTGCGCCTGAAATCCACATACACAATTGTTGTCACTGGCTTATCCATCACTAAAGGTATTAAAGACATTAGAAACGAGGAGCAGCATGACTCACAGGCAGGAGGATGAGGAAGAAGCCTTTCTGAGTTACTTACATGAGACAGGACTGTAGACCCTCTGCCTTTTCACACTATCACCCACCTCCTAAGATAATTTTTCACTCACACTGAAAGACCCGGATAAATCCAGACCCCTCTAGCAGCCAAAGTTCTAGCAGAAAAAATAAAGGCAAAAATCTAAGCAGGGAGGGAAGAATCAAAAATCTAGATTAGCCGGTTCAGTGACTCTGTTTCAGGAACTAGCTGAAGATAAAGTTAGATTATAATCTTGAGAAACAGGGAGTTACCCCCTTGTGATGACCACTGGTATTTTTGGAATTTTCCAATGACGCCCTCCCTATCCCCTTTGGATTACTAGGTTGTGGTTTCTTCCCTTAAATACCCCTTCTCCCAGCTACTCGGGATTGAACTCTCTACCCCTGCGTTTTAGCCCCAGGGCACTGGTTCCTGTCCTGTCAACAAACCTCGTGTGATTGCAGCAAGGACAGTCTCTCGTGAGTACCTGGGGGGTCGTGTTATCCCGATACTTGAGTAAGAGTCTCCCCACTCCGGAGGTCTTTCAATACAATCAACTCATACAACTCACTGGGACACTTTTGTACACATGGTATACTATGCTGGCTTCTGGGAGTATAGTGAGCAAGGCATATAAGGCACTGGACCTTAGAAGAGGTGACCAAAAATAAACAAACAGTGTGGGAAAGAGGCACTGTGAGAAAGATGACTGTGGATAGCGAGGCCAGGGGAGACCACAACACTTAAGTGGAGAAGAGCAGACGAGCCCCTCAAGTGGCTGAGAAAGAGTCTCCTAGTTGAGGGAGGAGAAGGGGTAATGATGCTGAGACAAGAAGGGGCATTGTCAGTGGAGTGACAGAAACGATGAGAGTGGGCAAGGGGGATGGAGGGGAGACGTAGCAGCACTGTGTCACGCTGTGCCCTGTCTTATACATTTAATGAGAGGTCATTGGATGTGGTTAAGTATCAGAGAATGCCTAGATATCTTAGATGAACAAAGACCACAGAGGCAGCCACAGAGGGACATGCCCTGTGCTGAGGCTGGAGGGAAGGGAGTTGAGGATGATCAGGGAAGAACAAGGCATTCTTCCACAGCTGTGTGGTACAGCACTTAGCTGTCACAGACAGAGCTACATCTTTGGGAGCAATGGTGCAATCCCTGTCTGGAACCCTTTGCCAAGTTTCCAGAGAACTTCGATTTTCCCCCGGTGGTCCCTGTGTCCCTTCTGCTCGGTCTCTGTGGCCATAAAGCCACACCTGCAGCCATCTGGACACTCACATCGTTCCTCCTCCTGGTGCTGCCCTCTGCTCTTCAGCTGATGCTCTGAGTATCCAGGGACAGGTTTGAGATTTTGGCATTCTGCTGTTGATTGTTCTGCCTGTGCTTTTGTGAGTACTTCCAGTCAAGCCACATGAATTTCAGCCTAACAACCGACAATTTGGGTTTGCCTCAGCAGCTGCCTGTGCACAGCACCTTTTCTCCTATGCTCAGGCCACCATCAGAGTTCTTACCCTAGACTCTGCTCATCAGTATCTGTGACCTGCTACTCCCGAGACAGTAAGCTGAGCTTCTCCTGGCTTGGCTTGCTCCCTCCTACATTCCTGTCAAACTGCTTCACTGGGTCCTGTTTTCTTGGAAATGCTTTAGGACATTCCTGGATGCTTTCTCTGCCCACTCCTAGATATGTCATCATTTGATTCAAAGTTGTTTTTGTCCTTTCTCCCAAGAAAGTCAGAGAAGGTTCCCTTTCAAATTAGGCTCACGTCTGCCCTGGTATTGGAGAGTTCCCAGAGCAGGCATGAAAATGAGGGCTGCTCGTGACCTTTCTTCAGCATATATAAAATTATGTGTGAGAACCTATGGCTTGCAAAAGCATTCTTAATTCTCTGTAATTACTCTTCAGATACCACTAATTGCTGCATGCTTTCATCTTGAACATGAAAGATTACTCAGTTAACCACAGAAATGAACGGGAAGATTGCATCATATTTGGGTGAGCCACGCAACTTACGTAACTCGAATGTCGAGGTTCATGCTCTGCTCTTTCTCCCTCTCTGGACATCCTTGTCTTGAAAGTGTTGAGATTAGACTGGACACTGGCTGAGAAATAGCCCTCATGCCTTGCTCTCCCTAAGGATACTGTCCTCTAAAAATTATATCACCATGCTTCTTTCTGTCAGCCTGAGAGAATCTAATAATATGATTTAAAGAACTAGATTCAGCAGAAATAAGAATGTCAGTCTTGCATTTTAAGAGGCCAAATGTCTGACAGGCTTCCCTGTATGTAAAGAGAGAATGGAAATCACCCCCCTCCAAATAAGTCAGACTTCTTTTGTAGAATGCAAGAGAAATCAGGCTTTCCAAGATCACATTTTTCTGTTTACATTTTAGAGGAGTTGAAGAAACTGAATTTATAGCGGTATAGCTGAAGGAGTGCGAGGGGAGTAGAAATGAAAAATCAGATGAGAAGCTTGAGCGCATAAAATGAACAAACCCGAGCATCAAAGATGGACGCCTACCCTTTTCTCAGAGCAAGTGGACACCGTGTTTCCATGTACTTCCCATGCGTGATGCTGTACAAAATCTGCGTGTGTTGGGAGCCCTGCTCTCTCAACTTCCGCAACAATGAAGAACTGCCTGGGGGTGGTACCCTGGTCCATAAAGGCAGACTGGGAACATCGGTGGGCAAGAGGACCTGGAATGAGTGCTCTGTGAGGGCAAAGGGCAGCAGGCCTCTGTGTGAACTTTCCCCCAAGGAGATTTAAGACCCAAGAGTAAGTCAGTGTTCTGAGTGTGGCTCAGTCAACACAGGTGATGCTAGGATTAACCTACTCCAAGTAGTGACAGCACTAATACACTTTGGATGTTCAGAGAGCTAAACCTCGTCTCCCCACTACCCTGCCCCCATGGCAAGCCCTTGTTTTTTCTAAGACGAGCCTTCTCAAGAAACATCTCACACCAACAAAAGTAGGCTTCTGGTACAGCATATCATCCCAGCAGAAAAGGCAAAAATCTTTGTAATCAAGGACAGAGAAGCATCTGATAGGGTAGTGCCCACCTGGAGCAGAAGGGAATGGTTGGACATCAGACATCTCTGGGCCAATGGGAGGCCAGAACTCTGGCATGCCTGAGAGCGGTCCCCACAGAGGAGGCTGGCCGAAGGCAAATCCATTGCCATGGCTGCGCTGCAGCTCCCCATGCCTTAAGTGGGCCAGGAGATTGGTGTTAAGTGAGAATGCCCTGTTCCTGGTACTTGTGCCAGCGTCTGGAGAACACTCGTCAATTATGTGAATGACATACGAAGGTGTTTGGTCCCATTCTGTGAGATTTCATTTTCTCTCCCTGACATCGGAGTGCTACCCTCTAATCTGATTCTGAAGGCGTGTGAAATGACTGCCGAATTAGAAGGGCATGCATTGTGAAAATTACAGGTGAGCTGCAGTGTTAACGTAAAGGGATAAATGGTGATTTACAAACAACAGTCCACAGTAATTGCAAAACAATCATGTAGAACAGGATGCATGGAGATATGCATACATCTTGATGAAACCTGCCCTGGATCCCTCCTGAACTGCAGTCTCCCTCCAGAGAGCAGACGGTTGGGAAGGGCCCATGCTGACAGCTGAGGCAAGTGGTTAGCACCCTGGGACCCTGCTAGTCTTGCACTATACACACACCCCTAACATTGTACTTAACAACCTGAGTTCCTTGTCTGCAGGTATGACTTACTTATGCCCCTCTATGACAACTCACCTAGCACCTGTTAGCAACCTTAGGGCCCTACCTCCTTTGAGCTGTATAAAGTCCCCACTCTGGACAGTGGACTAGGACTCCCCTATTACAGACAAATTCTATTCTTTTCCAATTCATCTGGGAATTTTGTACAATGGGCCGGTGTGACCAGACTGGTTTTGAGTGGAAGAATAATAAAAAAAAACTCTCCTCTAAGTGAAATGTTAGGGAGAACCCCGTATTTACCATTTTATGTAAAATTGGGTATGCAATATAATTAAGACCGGCTGCATTATGGGAAGGGATGTGGGTGCTAAAAATGATTATATAACCTAATCTATCAGTCAAAATAGAGAAACGCTGTCACTATGTCCCTTAGCAACCAAACTCTTCATCTTGAACCCCACAAAGGGAAGCCCCAAACACTGATTGGAGGAGCCCTTGTGTACTGTGACTAGAACTAGAAACACCAGGCTCAGACGCTGACCACTTGTAACACTGCAGCACTGTGGGAGAGGAAGTTAGGAGTTTGGTTATGTGTAGAATCTTAAAATTCTAAGACACCTGGCTGGGCCACAGTCAAGGTCTAGGAAACATGCTCAAGAGAGTCTTTAATGCCCTTTTCCCAAACCCACGCTGCAGTGCAGGCAGCCCCTGCTCACTCCTGTATAATGTCTTCCCCTGTGGAAAGAAGTCGAGTTCTAGCAACTGGCCTTCCTGGCGCCAAACAAACTTCAGAGCTGAGTCATAGCTGGCCAACCCTTCCGGATACCTGTGACCCACGCGTGACCCAGGCCTAGAAAGGCTAGAGATTCCTGCTTTCTCACTGATAGACCCTGGGGCCTTAACAAACCACAGAGGAAATGGTTCCTGAGCCTGGGTCAGATCTGGAGCAACATTTGAGAGTGGGTTTGAGAAAGATTCTGAGCATGTCAGTTGGCCCATGTCCAGACACTCTAGGTAACAGTGTGGGCAATGAATCAAACGGCAAAGTGTTTCCTCCTGTTAGAGTTTGTTCAAAGTAATAACATCACTGACTAACTAGTATGACCAGCTAGATTAACCAGAGTGACATGAGAAAATGATCCCGCCTCCAAGAACTGAGTGTGACATTCATAAAATAAAAGCTTTCTACTCGGCTGAACCTGTAAACCATGAACTTCTGTCAGGATTTATGATAGGAAACACAGATTTTACATAGCTTAGGATATAAATATTAAAACAAAAAGTCTAAGTCTTGATTTTTCTAGAATTCCCAAACCATATTTTCCAAAGAACCCCATTAAAACTACTTTAGTTAAAAGATGTCTGACTGGCACAGCATCCTAATAATAGGCTCACTACACTTTATTAAAATCTCTAATATTATTTAAGTTAAAATAAAATTTCAATATCAGATAAAGCTTGGACTATAAGAATGAGCCTTTTGCACAGAACCCGACAACCCCTAAGCATGGTTATGCTAAGGAATATTATAACTGATTTTCTGTCCCCGTGTGCATTTATTCTTACTGTCTTTTTAAGCTTATGGCTTCAACGGGGGTGTGATGTCTTCCTTCTTCATCCCAATAATATGTAATTCATTGCTCTAAATATAGTTAGCATCGAGTAATTTTTGTTATTGACTGAATTCAGGCAATCAGGTAGAAAAAGAAAAAGGACATGTCACGTGCTTGATCTGCCCCTCTGATTAAATGTCACTCCTGCCTTAACGGCTAATCAGTCAGTAAGCTAAGCTTGAAGCACACCTGATGTTCCCACTTAAAGAAGGTCAGTGGTGGAAAATGAGATCCAGGGGCACACATTTGGGAAATTAGTCTGTGTGCTACAATGGGGACATTAAAAGACCAGGCGCCTGCTCAGAGCTGCGCTAGAAGTCTTAATGTTTCTAGAGCAGCCCCAACATCCATCCCCCCCCCCCAAAAAAAAAGCACAATGTCAGTTCTCAACTCTATTAGATATCGTGTTTCCAGGAAGCGGAGGCAGAGGAAGAGGAGAGAGAGGGAGAGGGAGAGAGAGAGAGAGAGAGAGAGAGAGAGAGAGAGAGAGAGAGAGAGAGAGAGAGAGAGAGAGAGAGAGAAAGATTGATTTTAAAAAAGAGAGAGAGAGAGAGAGAGCCCTCCACATACAGAGCTGAAGACCCAGCGAAGAGTCAGCAAGCTATGGCTTTGAAGGCAGTCTGGAAGGAATTCAGTTATTTTTATTACAGCCAGCAGTCCTTTGGATGAAGCCCACTCACATCACAGAAGGTAATCTGTTTGACCCAAGGTCTACTAATTTAAATATTAATCACATCTGTTCGCACAAGTAGGCCAGAATGGCTGAGGCCAGAACATCTGGGCACCGGAGCCTCCACAGACCCAGACAAAGCATTAGCCACTTTGCATACTAAAACAGAAAGCTTTTGACCTTCCTGGTTCTCTGACTTCATTAGCCACTTCAAATCTTCTTCGAATAACAAATACGGTGTGCGCTGATGATTTTTCTAATTTTTAGAGGAACAAGCTTTATTCTGGTCTTTCATTGCCTCCTCACGACAAATCCTGCTTCTGGCTCTGTTCATCTTTTCCGCAGCTCTGTTCAGGAGACACAGAAGAGACAGTTTTCAGATTCAAAGGCCCTTTAGTGTGAAAGAAGATGAACACATAAACCATTGCCGTGTTAGCTAGCACTTGTGGTACCTGCATACACAAGTGCTCCCCACACTCCCTAACACAGCCCACTACATATTCTCAGTGCACAGTGGTTAGAAATCAAATGTCTGGGAGCTGAGTCTGAGGGGACATGGCCAAGCTGTGAACCCATAATCCCATGGGAAAAGTTTTTACACCCTGAAAAATCTCTCTGCTGACACATTAATCCAAATCAGACCAAATTAGAAAAAGCCCAGGTTTAATGGATACCAGTGCTTCCAGGTCCTGAGAGAGGAAGGGCCCTAGCACAATGTGTCCGCTATGATAGACTTTCGAGTTAAAAACAGAGAGGTATGGGAATTCCTTGAAAGTACGCTCCTCACGAAGGAACCCACCAGAACAACGCAGGTCCATGTCCAATCAGGTCAGTCGCCTGGCACAGCCCATGACTTCAATAGACAGCCTGGCGGAAGTATGAGGCCCTGGGCCTTAAGGGCAGTGACTTGGAAATGGGAATTTACCCAGACTAAGTCAATATTAGCCTGGCAGAGTGCAAGCGCAGGAGGGTGGGAAAAACAACCTCCTTGGTGGAACCTCCAGATGGAAACTTTTTATGTCCCAATAAACCTCTCTGCTGACGCAATAATCCAAATCAGACCAAATCAAACCGAATTGGAAAAAGCCCAGGTTTAATGGGTAATAGTGCTCCTGGGTGGCCTCCCAGGCCCTCAGAGAAGAGATGAGGAAGGAAGACCAGGAAACCACATGTTTGTTCTCTGGAGTACAATTTAAATACCCCGTGGGAGTGGTCTTGAGCATCTCTGAGGAGGGGTCACTCTTTGGCAGACTTTCTTGGAGGTAAGAGTTTAGACTGAGGCAACTCCCAGAGGAGGGGGCTTGGGATGGAACTCTCCACCTAAACATTCTAGACTTATTGGGTATATGGATGCCAGGGGCTGGGGTGAGGCTTTAACCCAAACACCTAAACCACAGGAAGTGAATTCTAGGAACTGGTAAGCACACAAATAGACCTCCTGGAATTTTGTGGTTTGGGCAGAGGTTCTGGTAGGCTTTCCTTCTCTTCCTTGTCCCAGTAGGAGAAAGGACAAAGAGCTAGGAACAAGAGAAAGGAAGAGAGGGTCTTTGATGGAGACTGAGGACTTCCAGAGATTTTTAGTTTAGATCTCAGAACCTTTTGCTTTCTGGCCCTGAGTCCTAGACTCTGCTCCAGGAACAGAGAAAGTGGCTACCTGCTGAATCCATGCGGACTCTGTCCTGTGCCAACCCAAAATACTCCAACCACTTTTCTTTGCTTTTCTCGGCTTCTGGGCACAAGCGCCATTCATTTTTTTTTTTTTATCAAGTATACAAAGGTTGAGAAATTCTTTATTCCACCCAAAATATGAAAGGCTGAGTTTTAGATGCTGGACATGTCTATAGTTGCTTTCTCAAGTATTGGGAAAAGTAAACAGACATACATTTCTCAGCTATTCACTTCATATTCTCAAAATTTCAGAGCAACATTGGATGCTAGAGTGTTTCAAAGTTAGAGTACCTAAGAAAACAGGATTATTAAAAAGCAAAGCCAGAGGCATATACCACTTAATAAAGCTGCAAAACAGTCTCAGCGAGGAAAAAAAAAGGTTTGTGCTAGGCCTGTTCTCCGGCTTTTTAAGATGGTTCTCATGCTCCCTTTATATATTGTAAAATTAAATTATATTTTTCCAATTTAGATGACTTCTGCATATAAGCTAGTTTGGAGTGTTACTCTGGGGCAAGTTTTACACTTCTTCACCTGTGTTCTGTTTTCCTAGAGAAAACAGAGAAATTTCCCACAGAGAAATTTCCCACAGAGAAATTACATCAGCTCAAGTCTTTAAAAGAATCACAAACATGAAAATTTTCTGTCTTTCCTATCATTTAGTAGGCAAAAAACAAACAAAAAAAATCAGATCTACTGCATGGTTCCTAAGAAGATGTCCCGAGAATCATAATTAGAAGGCTGTATCCAGATTCTGAATCGGAGCAGGTGGATTTAGCGGGATGATGTACACATCTGTCAGGCTATATGAGAGCTGATATGTCTGTCCACAGAAGAGGTGGCTTGGGGCACCAGACAGGACGAGGAGGAGTTAGTGGTTCACTCACCTTCTGCCAGGACAGGATGGGTGTAACTGTATTCAGTTTTTTAGGTTAGATTTTAATTAGTTTATCTTGCAAATATTTGAGAATTATAGAGTTTGCTAGAATCAAGAAAATTTTGCAAAGCCATATCAAGTGGTTTTTACTGTTCCAGTATCAGTTTATTGCCAAAATTTTGTTTGATGCTGATGCAACCGCCTCATCTCATTAGGACTGATGGAAATGCTGTAAGTGGTAGCGTATACAGGAACATTAAACTCTGGGAGGAAGAGAAGAGGGAAATGGCAGAAATTGAGATAAAGTAAAAAAAGTAGCGTTGGAGGCAGTGAACTCCACAGGAGCAGGACTGAGCCAGTGGCAAAATCCACAGAGGCAGATACAAAGGAGCAACCCCTGAGGGAATGAGTCAGAGGCAGAGACTTCTGTGGGTCCAGGCATGAGTCTGGGACCTTCCAGGTAGTAGACCTGGGCCAGGATTCCTGGAGGTCTAGACGTAAGACTGGGACCTCTGAGGAACTAGGCCTGAGCCAGGACCTCTGTGGGCCTGGGAAGGAGTCTGAGATCTCTGAGAGAGAAGGCAGGAACCAGAAACCTCTGTGGGTCCTGGTGTGAGTCTGGAACCTCTGAGGCAGTAGGCCTGAGCCAGAGACCTGGGCCAAAGCAGGCCTGGGACAGTGAACTCCACAGGAACAGGTACAGGGGAGCAACTGCTGAGGGAGTGGGCCAGAGCCAGAGACCTCTGCAGGTCCAGGAATGAGTCTGGGACCTACTAGGGTATAGGCAGGAACCAGAGACCTCTATGGGTCTGGGCATGAGTCTGGGACCTCCAGGGAACTAGGCCTGAGCCAGGACCCCTGCAGGTTTGGGACCTCTGAGGGAGTGGCAGAAACCAGAGTCCTCTCTGTGTCCTGGCATGAGTCTAGGACCTCTGTGAGAGAAGGCCTGAGCCAGGACCTCTGCGGGTCTAGGCTCACCTGAGTCTGGGACCTCCAAGGGTGAATATCACAGCTAGAGACACTTTTGGAACCAACCCCAAGCCAGGGAACTCCGCAGGAGTGGATCCAGACCAGGGATATTTACAAGATGGTCTATGCTGGCAACCTAGGCCAAAGCAGGCCTGAGGCAGTGAACTCCACAGGAGCAGAGCAAAGCCAGGGAGCACTGAGAGACCTCTAGGAACACAGAGTGACCAACAGGGTGACTGGAACCATGGCACTGACTGCACCATGAGTAACAAGCATCTAAGCCTTGGGTCCACTGGCACCTGGAAGATTGATAACCAGAGACACAGACATCCCCAACTACACAAATCAGAGGAAAAGATGGGCAGACAAGGTGAGAACACATGCAACACCACAAAGAACTACAGGACACCAGTAAAATCAAGTGACCCTACAACAGCATGACTTGAACAACCAAACACAGATGAAGCAGAAGAAAATGACCTAAAAAATAACTTCAGGAGAATGTTTGAGACTCTTAAAGAAGAAATAAATTCCGTCAAAGAAATTGAGGAAAAGACAAACAAAAAATTGGAAGCTATCAACAAACCTCTTTAAGAAAACCAAGAAAAAGCAATCAGACATATGAAAGAAACCATTTAAGACTTGAAAACTGAAATAGAGATAATAAAGAAAACACAAGCTGAGGGAATTATAGAAACAGAAATCATGAGAAAATGATGAGGAACCACAAACGCAAACATAAACAGCAGAATAAGAGAGATGGAAGAGAGAATCTCAAGTGCTGAAGATACAATAGAGGAAATAGACTCATCAGTCAAAGAAAACATTAAATCTAACAAAAGCTTAACACAAAATATCCAGGAAATATGGGGTACCATGAAAAGACCAAACCTAAGAACC